AATTTTTCTTCTAGGTTTTTGTCTCTCTATTTAATTATCCTTTTCATTACTGATTTCCTGACTTAATCTGAATGTGCATAAATCTGCACCATAGATTTATCATCTCTATAGAAAGTGCTTTCAGAGTGGTTGTGCAGCTTCCCAGAAAAGGGACACTGTTGGAAAATGAAGCTTTCAGATTCAACAATAAGCCTACTATTATGCTGATTTTTGCCAAGCTTTCCCTCACTTCTTTCCCATTTACTACAAGAGTGAGCTCAAGGCTTCTTTTTGTTTGTTTTTGAACTTCAGTCATTCTTGAGTGTTTACCACCCTGCTCAAGTCCACTCACTCTGAAACATTAGACACTACAAGATACAGCTGCATTGCTTCTGGAATCAGATAATGCTCAGGTTCTTTTTTTCAACTGCATGTTTCTGTGAAGGTTTTAACCAGCCTCTTTTCCAATCTTAAATAAACAAACAAGAAAAGTAAAAATAAAAATATTTCTTAAAATATTACACTTTGACTGTCACAGTCATTTGAGGACATTGCATTTTTAACTAAATATGAGATCTTGGAGAAGCAGTTGAAATTATCTTTAATATAAATAATCTCATTGCAAAACAGATTTTTGTTTATGTATTATATAGTCTGCATGCTCATAACTATTTAATCAAATTCAGGTCTTGTCTGAGCAAACATAATGGCCATTGACTTATGTGTGGGTTGTGAATTATCCTTTCTGAATTTGACCTGCTTTGAAAGCTAAAAAAGCTGCCTTCCTTGATTTTTTTTCTTGCAAATGGAGAGGCTTTTCTATTTCTAAAATTTTTCTGAGTGAGGAATACAACTTTCTACTGATAACACATAGAAACCTGGCCTCTCTAGGGTTCTGGTCCATTGTGACTGTCAGAATTTTTTATAGTTCTCATGAATTTTCTTTTTCTTCTTTCCTTGTTGATACTCTATATAATGCTCTTTAGGACTCCACACAGGGCCCTTGAAAGGACCTTCTGTCTTTTCTTTGCTTGGCTGCTTTCTCCTAAGCCGAGCATGTAAACATCTATCTCCTGAAGACATATCCCTGTTAATCACTTCTGGTGCCTCTCTTTGAACTTCTTTCCGTTAACGTTGCAGTTTTTAACTGCTGTTAACAAAAGCCAGGATAAAATGTTATTATCAGCCCTTCTCCTGGCTTAAAAGCCCCTTGTTACATTTATGCCCTAGATTAGCAACTGCTGTACAACATAAGCTACGTAATTTGCTGTTTTCCGTATCTTCACTCTCAGATCTGTTGCCAGACCACTGTGACTGTACCAGTTTATTTCCAAATTTTTGTGTTGAATCAATTTTCCCTTGTTGCGAGCCAGAAACAGTTTTCTGCCAGGGGAATTTCAACTGATTTAATTTGTTGCCAATTAACAAACTTTTAATCACTGATTCTGGTATTGAAACCAACACACAAATACGTATTTAGAGAGACACACCTCGGTTCCCTTCCAGACACCTCTCCTCCATGCTCCGTGGTCTCCAGTCCTTTTGCTGCACATGGCACACAGTCCCTTTGGAGAGGCAATAGACCTCACTGAATAGCAGATTAATCTTTTTAGTTAGTTCATTGGGCAGGACTTGGAAGACCCATGTCCTATTTCTTCAGCTGGGAAGTTATCTCCACCATTTCTTTCTATGCTACTGTCTCTTATCTGTAAGCCAGGAAAAATGGCAGTGACCTGCTTCAGGTAGTACTTTAAAACTGATTGCCAAGAAGCAGTCCAAAAATATGTGGTACCACGGATGCAACTGAAGTGTTGGAGTCTGTCAATCTTGTGGGAGCAGTAGGTGTCTGAAGAAGTGAAGCGATACAACTATTTCATAGGGATGTATTTTTTTACCTTTGCATTCAGTTGGCTCCTGTTCCATCCCTAGCCCCAACAGTAGTCAAGTGGGACAATATACAAACCAATATCATGTGTGAGGGGTGTTCCTCCCCTTCAGAAACAATGAATTTACAAATGCTGTGCTGTGACATCCCTCTGTATTACTACAGCTCATTATCTGATGTTAGAGTGTGACATGTCAGTTTTCAAGGTCCTTTTCATGACAGGTTGCCAGCTACTGGAGCTTCAGTATCAACTGGATCTCAGCATAAAAATTTTTAAAGAAAGGAGAGAGTCGGTATTTTTAGCCCAGGTTATTTCAATGGGTCTAATCCACGGGTAAGTTTCATAAACCGAATGGAATAACAGATTACAGTGCCAAAATGGAGTCAGGGAGGTTGCAGGAGAGCAGGAAATCACAAAGGCACCTTTACTGCCAAAGTTGCTGCATTGTACAGCTACACCTGGAGTGTCTCACAATTGTCATGTACACTGAGGTCTGGAAATTCCTTTCTTCTTTTGCAGATGGAAAATTGAGGCCCCTAGAAATTAAATGAGTTGTCTGGGGTCACATCAGAAATATGACCACGGTTGTGTAGGAAATTATGAACTGGGGATTTAATGCAAAATCCAAAGCTGGTGCTCTGACCAGTCCATCTCACTTCTAATATAGCCCAAGTGTTCTAGCTGGGATGCTTTATTGTTGTTGATTATCATTTTACCTTTATCAATTACTATCCTCAACAGAGAAACTGAACGACTGCAACATGTGTTGACCATAAGGTTCATACTGCTACTTGGCATAAATGGAAGATGAGAACTAAACTCTGGGCAGCTGGTGTCCTCTTTTTGAAGCTGTAAGCTCAGCATCCAGCCAAATATACTGCAAGTCAATGCAGATTTGCACATTTGCTGCAAAAATTAAAAATCTGGTGGAGTAATGCTAAAACTCCTTTAGTGCTGCTGTAGAATCTGTGTCACCTTGTCTGAAGATCAGCTTCTAGATATTGGCCCTTTATTCCCTAGAAGAAAAAGCTGGGAGATGTTGCATCAGTCTCTATATGAAGGGCTCCTGTTCCCTGAAGATTTGTTTGAAGAAGCTATTCATGATCCTAACTGTAGAATATATGTGTTCCCTTCTATGTTCCCATTCCAGCCTCTACTTTCAGTTGCTGCAGATGGCAATTCCTTGTGCCAGCTTTTGAATGCACCTGAAGGCTTTCCAAAGCTGTTATTCCTTCTCTGTTTGTTTACAACTCAGCCTCCTACTTAGTGATTTCTCACTTGTGTTTAGTACCCAGACAACTCCCCCCTCAAAACTGTCCAAATACATAATTTCTTCCAACAGTGGTAGATGAAAAAAAAACAAACCCAACCTTGGGAATTAATTTCAGCATAGACAGAGTATAAAAACTGTTTTGGAAAATACATAAAAAGTAGACCACTTAATTTTCGTTTAACTTTTCTAAAGAGATTTACAGTTCATCTTAAATAATTAACTCAAAGTCACTACATTTTCAAAAGCCCAAAGTAAAGATCTGGAATGAAGTTTCAGTTCAGGTTTTTCTTCCTGCTATGCTGTCACACAAAAACCTAAGCTATTTCTGGCTGTTCTTATTTTTAGATTGTTCTTCATATACCATTTACTGTCATTGAAGTTAATGAGAAAATAAAAGGAGTGACCTTTGGCTGAGCACATACAGTTTATGCATGAGCTAAACAGCAGGATCCTTTTTCATTCTTCTTTTTCCCACATTCTCTTTCTCCCTGCTCTCCCCCATCCAAATATAATTTGTAAAGCCTTTAGAGCCTTTCATCCTATGTGTTTCCACTGTGTTCCTTTACATGAGTCTCAGGTCCATGATTCACATCTATTCTCTTGTGCTGAAAGGTCAGTGGCACCCTTGTTTTATGAATATAATCCACTATTCTCTTGAAATTCAGAGTCATTTCCAAAACTCCCAGGCAAAATTCATACTGTTTAGCGTGCAGATAAATGTCAGCACTATTATAAAGAGCACTCTCACAACGCAAATACAAGCCTGGACATTCAAAGTTATGTTGTTTAAAATAAAACAGTATGTACCGAAGATCCGAATAGTTTTGAAGACACAATTCCAAGTGAAATGGTAATTCTGAACCTGTGGCCTCACCACACCGTTGAATATGTAATTCATGCCCAGCTTTCTGCAGCCAGTGGATGAGTCCATTCAAGGAAGCTACTCTGACTCATTAGAGTAGAAACTGTCACACTGAGGTGGTTCTCTGCCAGCCCACCTTCCTGCCATGAGGAAACACTGCCAGCCCTGCAGGTGGGTCGGATACATTTTTATTGTAAATTGCACATTGAATGATTTTCAATGCTGCAGTTTGTGAATCCTTGGTTGAAAATTATAAGGCCCAAATGCTGCTTCCAAACTGTGTTTGAAGGTGAAAGAAGTTAGTTTCCTGGCTGAGAGCAGGGATTTAAGTAGAGGTGTGCTATGACCAAGAAAGTCTCCTTTGTGCTAGCTGGAAAAGAGGTCTGCAACCATTTTGAGAGGGAACACTGATTTTCTAGTACTTGTGCCACACATTGCTAACAAAAATGAGAATTGGTATGTGTCTGGGTTAAGGGAAATGTGATGACAGTGTAAGGCACCAATAACTGATAGTAAATCCAGATTATAGTTGTTTATGGAAAATTTGCTCTTTTTGGTGGTTGTTGTTCCCAGCATGTGGTTGTACCTCTGCATTCTAGTGTTTAAATTTAAGTGGATAGTTATTTATTGCTCCTTTAGCTTTGTCTTAGCAACCCTGACTGTGTATTTTATTTGGAGCTTTTAGATAGTATTGTAGAACACTGATTGCTGAAAAACTTAAGTTTTTATAGTCTCGTTGTTTGCCACCCAGAATGGGTCAGGTTGGAAGGGACCACAGTGGGTCATCTGGTCCAACCTCCCTGCTTCAGCAGGGCCATCTCAGAGCACATGGCACACACAGGATTGCATCCAGATGGTTCCGGAATATCTCCTGTGATGGCAACTTGACAACCTCTCTGGGCAACCTGTTGCAGTGTGTGGCCGTTGCACAGTAAAGTTCTTCCTCATGTTCAGGTGACACTTCCCGTGAATCAGTTTCTGCCTGTTGCCTCTTATCCTATTGCTTGGCACCACTAAGAAGAGAATGGATCCATCCTCTTGGCACCCTCCCTTTAGATATACGCACAAATGAGGTCCCCTCTCGGTCATCTCTTCTCGAGGCTGAAATTCATCCTCTGGCAATCACTGATGTCGCCCGTTTCCTTTTGCTTAGCGAGAGGTTCGTGAACAGTTCTTTACACGAGGCTCAGCGGTGTCACTGCGCGTCGCGGGTCTTTATTTGTGCGTGGCAAGCCGGGCACACGTAAATTATGTGCCCGCGGCCGGAGCCA